TAACATGCATTTAAACAGTCCTTTGGCGCCACTCAATGACGTAGTATACTTGAAATAGTGGCCCTGCAGCAGGTTTACTCGACATTGAGAAACGGCCAGACATTAAAGTGCATGCTCTATATCCATATGTTATTCAATATGCACCTTAGATAATATTTTATTGTATTTGTTTTATTATTTTCTCCCTCATAGCATTGTGAAGCACCTTGACATTACGTTGTTTTTAAAGTGTGCTCTATAAATCAAATGTATTATTATTATTATTATTATTATTATAGCAGGGTTTTTATTTCTACAATAAGCAGTATGTATACCACTGTACAGTATTCCATTTTACATTCTGGACTTGTTTATCTTATTCTATGTACCTGTATATATACTTATGCATCTACTTGATCGCATGCAACGTTCTCTGCATTATTTAGCTTTTTGTTTTTATTTGACATGTCTATCTTTCACTTCTCCTGCATCCCTTGCAACATAATCATGCACTATTTTATTTCTACTGTTACTATGTGTTGTATATCATATATATATAAGATATACAACACAGTGTATATATATATATATATGTATATATATATATTTACGCTGCATTGTTGTTGGAGGAGCCTGGGACTTCAGATGTGCATTGCCATAGCTAAACTGTAGCTTCTGTGCATGTGACAATACATCTTGGATCCTCGTTGAGAATACCAGGGTTTCCCACACACAGACTATACTTGGGCGGGCCGCCCAGGTATATTAACGGCCGCCCAGGTATATTAACGGCCGCCCAGGTATATTAACGGCCGCCCAGGTATATTAACGGCCGCCCAGGTATATTAACGGCCGCCCAGGTATATTAACGGCCGCCCAGGTATATTAACGGCCGCCCAGGTATATTAACGGCCGCCCAGGTATATTAACGGCCGCCCAGGTATATTAACGGCCGCCCAAGTATATTAACGGCCGCCCAAGTATATTTCGCGACCCATTTAGTTTTTTTTATTCGTCCGTGACCACGACGCCATCTGCGATCGATTAACTTGTGGACAATGATCCCCTTGCTCCCTTGCTCTGATCTCGCCTCCTTCTGGCCTGCTAAGTGGCCTGCCTCACACAGGGTGACTGGCTGTCTACATGATGTGGCCTGCCGACATGGCCACTGTCATACAGATCACAAATCAAAGCCATTGATTGGTCTCTGTGTGTCATTCAAGCTCGGGATAACCTCAGCTCAGGTGAGGTAAAGGACTCTCTGAGTGTTTAGATAGTTAACTTAGTCTAAGTTCTCAGTGGGTCTCAAACAGTGTGGTCACCATTTATGTAAACACATATTTCCATTTGAGGGGGGAGTGATTGGTCTAATGGATAGTGAGGTGGGCTGAAGATCGGAAGGCTGTGAGTTCAAATCCCGCCAGGAACACCACCACTAGTGTGCCCTTGAGTAAGGCACTTAGTTACTCCAGGGAGAATGTCCCTGTAATCGGTCATTAGAAGTCGCTTTGGATAAAAGCGTCAGCTAAATGAAATGTAATGTAATTAGTAAAATATGCATGAATAAATAAATAAAAAGTTAACTAGGTGAAAAAAGGTAAGATACACTTTTAAAACTTGTTGAGAGAAAACTAGTCTTTGCTGCTGCCTCAAAGAGGAGCAGGGGGAGAGGAGGGAGAGGGGGGAGAGGAGGGAGAGGGGGGGAGAGGAGGGAGAGGAGGGAGAGGAGGGGAGAGGAGGGAGACAGGAGAGGCTGATTCAGGAGCACAGACACACTCACAACTATAAATGAACCAAAACTAAATTAATAAACAAGTTTCAGTGTTTTTTTCATATTGGAAATGGTATGTTATTGGTTATGGCCATGATTTTATGATTATTGAAATGTATACAGTTCTGTTTAATATAGGTGTTTCCTTAGATCTAGTCTCTTTATTTTCCCCTCAAAATGCACCAGATTGATGCTTTTAACTCCAAAATAAAAAATAAAATCTTACCGGATGGATTTGAGGTCGACCCCCACTAAAAATCACATGGATAGGTTCCTAAATACATTTATAAATACATGTATTTTTTTTAAATAGTATCCCATTTCCATATGGTCATGTGTGGGCAGTAGATTTAAACTATAGGGCTATCATTATGGACCCTGCCTGTACCTGTTGGCTCTGCCATCGCGTGAAGGGTCTGCTAACAAGCGACCAACAGAAAGGTTAATGTTAATGTTGTTGCACGTCACCTCAACCCCCCCCCCCCCCAAGTATATTTCAGATCTGTGGGAAACACTGGCAGTGGACCAGCACCAGAGGCGTTCCCATACACACAGGCGTTGGAGCTGTTCTTCATGAAATCCCAGAAGGATGAAGTGCTCTGACAAACAGTGCCATCTTTGCGCAAAATGATTATACAGGAATGAAAAGTCAATAAATAAACATGTTGTTAAAACTTTTTCTTTTTTTTCTCCGCGCACCCCTACCCCCCCGCCCGCTGCCACCACCCGCCCATGTATATTTCAGATCTGTGGGAAACACTGAATACAGTACACAAAGTACCAGACACACACCCCCTCCCCCCCAAGTTGCAAAAAAGAAGCCGCAAATGTGCAATATTTGACTAGAACAAGCACATTTGTCCATGCATGCATTTCAAAACATGACAGTAGATATCTAGGTCAGACATTTGTAATTGTCTTCACCTTGCCAGATTTGTTTAACCTTGGGTGTATGAAGGCATGCTAAATGTCTCATCAACACGTGTCGCACTTAAGTAACGTTGCAACAGTGACCTGCAGTCTTATAAATACAATTTAACACATTTCCAGAATTAAAGACAGTAGTAACATGCTCTTGGCTACGTTTTATTAGCGTGTTAGCTAGCTCCTGTTACATAGTGTCAACAATGTGGTGTTACGTCAGATGAATGAAGCATTACAAAGTCCAAACAATTCGCTACACAGGGTTTTTTATTCCACATTAAAACACTTTATTCAATCAAACATTCTCCTGTTGACAATTTAAACAACTCACTTTTCCTGCAGGTACTTTATCCAGGTTCAGCTCGGTGACTGCACTACTGCTCTGTTTTGCAACGACTATCCACCCGGAAGTTCAGATTTGACTGACATGACCGTTAACCAACCACAGTGCGAGTTTGAGTAAGAAGGCGGAGCTCAGATGATTAGAAAGGAGGGGCATAATCCTTTGACCAATAGGAGATCAGAGTATTAATGATTGACATCTACATCAGCAATAGCGGGCCAATCAGAGTGAACACAAGGCGGGATATAAATCAAACAGCTTCTCATGAGAGTTAAAGGGTGTCACCGATGACTCCACGTGCAAGCAGGCACTGTTACCATACTGTACACATTGTTTTTTTATTATTGACAAAAGGACAATATATAAAATAAGTAATTTGAACAATAACATACACACAAACCAGATATGTGGTACCAATACCTATGAAAAACATAACATTTTGAAGGTTACTTAATAAAAACCATATAGACACACATATTTGTACATTCTGTCTATACACCAATATAACATGTTTCAAAGACATAGGACAAGGACAATGCTCACGCACATTACAATATAACAGGACAATGACATGAGGGGTGGGTTCTGTAAGGGGGTTAAAGTGTCAATTCAATTTGATGCATGCACATGCCGTTGCATTAATACGTATGATTTAGGCTACTCCATAACATAGATACCTTCATTATTAATAAATAAAATAAAATAATCTCCGGTTCTAAATTAACTTTCTCCATGTGTTTACATCGTGATGATTACATGTCTTCCATACTGTATACATTTTTCTTTTAACACTGAGTAAGTATCTTTAAATATGTATCTTGTTATGAGTTAATAGATATCATAACCTTGACTGAACTCCTTTCTCGCTATCTATCATATTGTATTTTGTCTTTAGTAGTCCCATGTACAAAAGACAAAGCAAGATTCAAAAAATGGTTTGACCTAATTTGACACAATGTTTCAGGATGTGCAAAGGCAAACAGAGAGAAGACTTCCACAAAAGGACATTCAAGATTTCAATTGCAGTCACAAATGCAATAACCCACCAGGGGGCAAAACTGGACTGCTCAGCAATTGAACAGGTCATAATTGTTTAAATATTGAAATGTTCCCATGTCGGGGATGGATGTTAACATTTCTAATAAAAATGGACAGTCCTCTTCTGACATAACATATATTTTAGTTAACTTGAATCTATTTAATAACTGTGTGCTTTGTGTGTATTTGCAGTCGCTTTGCATCTCTTTGTTATCATGTTGTGTCACTTATGGTTGCTTTGCCCCTTTTTGTGGTAATTGTGTGCCCTTTTTTTGCCCTCTTTGTAGTCATTTTTAATATATTTGCTTCAATTAAATATTTCTTTCCGGTCTTGATGATTCCCTTCAAGTGACATTTTGCAGGTGAACATTTCTGAAATTCATTCATCAATTCATTTATTGTATTACTTTGTATACTATAGAATTAATAAGTAAAACTGTGCAAAACTATTTTTCAGGATTGCATATATTTGTTGGAAGGTAATGAGATGTAAAAACATGTCTTTCTTTAGGTAGTAAGTTTATTATTGGGGAAATTCCAAAATCAGAGATGAAAATCAAATTGTTAGACTTTCTTTTTTAAATAAGAACTGCATTAATGTTTGTATTGCCTTTTCTATTTCTAAATGTGTGTATGGGCTTGCTTACTTTGCAGTTCAGTAGTTCATCCTTATCCATGACTTATGACTGTGTACCATGAAGTGCCTTATGGCTGTTTAAATGGATATCCCCACCTGTCTTTGACACAGTGACCTTATGATGTTTTATTCCACTGTGGTCCATTGTGTGTGTGTGTGTGTGTGTGTGTGTGTGTGTGTGTGTGTGTGTGTGTGTGTGTGTGTGTGTGTGCAGCAGAGGGAGGGCACTGGGCGGACGCCATATATGGGCATACCACCGACTCTGCTCTGCTATTGGCTGCGGGCCTTATGCAGCTGCTTGTCAACAAGATGGCCTTCCTCCTGCTGCTGCTGTTGCTGCCGTTTTGACACTGATTATTTTGGTATCCCCGAGAACATACCGTAAAGGCTTGTGTCACTTCTAAATAGATAGTGGGAGAGGGACTGCTTGGAGTCCTAACAAGGCAGCTAGACTTTGCTCAGAGGACTGACAGGCAGACACACACACACAATAGCATAATCACTAGACAAGGTTGATAATAGAAAGTAGCTGTTGGCTAATGTCGTCGCTAGCTTAGCTTTAGCTTTACGGATAGTTAACTCCTGCATTTCATCAGACCAACTGGTGGCACAAAAAGGAAAAACAGCACTTGTCATCGACTGTTTTGCAAGTCAAGGAGGCTGTCTGTGGATATTAAACGCTGCTAAGGTGAGGATGCTACACAAAAAATACGTTGTTTTCTACATTGTTAGCTTGTTAGCTTGCTAGCCAGCGCTGTCATGTTATTATGCAGGTAAGTTGTGCTATCCAGCTAGCAGGCTCGGTAGCTAATGGCGGGTGTATTGACCTTTTGCAATACCACAGTTATACACTATTAAAGTAAGTGGAAGCGTACTTGTTCAGGATCTGTTAATGTTATATAATAATGGACTTATCCTACTTTCACATTTTACCAGGACGTTATGCTAGCTGTTTGCTAGTTAAGGAACCAGCTAGTGGTGGTGCTTAAAACATAAGGTTTTATAAGTGCTTATAAGTAAGCAGTTTTGTTTTTTGGTGTTTGTGATCAGAGATGAGAGAAGTACTTAGATAATGTTGTAAGTAAAAGTAAAAATACCACAGTGTAGGAATACTCTGTTACAAGTAAAAAGTTCCTGCATCCAACATGTTACTCAAGTAGAACTACTAAAGTATAAGCATCAACATATACTTAAAGTACCAAAAGTAAAATAACTAATTCTACAGATTGGTCCATTTCAGCATAATATATATGATATGTTTTGATTATAAATATTGATGCATTAGTGTTATCAAAGGTGCAGCTAGGTTTAATTCATTTGTATGCTGCAGAGTAGCTTGTACATTTATTTAAGTGTTGATTATATTTCACATAATTAATCCAAATGTGCAAAGTAACTAAATAAATGTAGTGGAGTAAAAGAGCACCTTTTACCTCTGATTTGTAATGGGGTAGAAGTACAAAATAGCAACATATTTAAATACTTAAGTTAACTGCAAGTCTCTCAAAATGGTACTTAAGTACAGTGACACCACTGTTTGTTACACCACACTTGTTGGTTGTCACTGGATAAGCTGGCTCAATTACAGTCAGTCGTAAGGTTTTGAAAAACCAGGAATGTTCTAGTGACCTGCAGGCCTTATTTTGATCATAGTAGGGACTACATGTTGAGAGACTCTGCATAATGAGTGTTTTAACAATGCATATTTCATTAGTGTATTATTGCATCCTATGGCACAGTTGCTGTAAGGAGATATGTCCACATTGATAAGCCAAGATGAACAAGTAGTTAATCTGTTTTTTGGGACAGTAGCATATTAAGCTCTCACATTGTCATTGCTGTATAACAATCAATTATGTTTTGCTAAAATAGCTCATTTCCACATGGAGTTCTGTCTGATTTGATTTAGTTAGATGATGCATTATTTGTCATTCTCCTTTTTCTGATGTTTAAGTAACCCTGTGTTGACACTGTGGTCTTAGTGATTGCAGTATGAAAGCTTGCATCAAAGTCTAACTTGTGATGTTGTTACAGAAGCTGAGACAGATGCACTGCAGGGCAGACAGCCACTCTTCCTAGGTGTCCTCTCGATGTAATAACGTTCCTCCTGAGCAGACCGCTGTAGTGAGGCTCTCACTGGGCTCTATTGTTCTGTTGACAGTTTGCCTGCTGGCAGCTCTTCTGTTGCATTGTCTTCACAGGCACGCATGCAGAGAGGGAGATTGAGCTAAGACTTTTTGGCATGCTTTATGTTTCGTCAGCTTTTGGTCGTCTGGCTGTGAAGAACAGTGTAGGAGGGCTGGAGGATAGTAAGCGGGGGGTTGAGTTGGAGTGACTGCTTTGTGTTTAGCAGGCTGACTTTTTCTGCAGCCTTAGAAATCACAAGTAGTAAATTGCTCTTTTTGGTAATCCGACTCGTTAAATCGGCCTTTAATGAGGATGTGGTAAACTGTGTGTTCTGAACGGCACGCACCTAATACTACCACAGTGAAACTATTATCCCGCTGAGAGTGCTGGCGAAACTGCTCGGGATTTGTATAGGGAAATGACCCAGTCCAGCAGAAAGGTTGTTTTTAAGTCATGGGAATCTGTCACTATGCAAAGAGTAGGATTGTTATTTGTGAGCATAACTCTGACAGAACATTGAGTAATAATGTGTGTATCGAGACACGTTTTGCAATGTTCAAAATACTTCACAATCTTCCTGATAGAGGAGGAATGATTCACTTTGTATTATTAACAAGATGTGTATGCAGGTTAAACAGCAGAACTCCTGTGTCTTGTCTTGTCCACTTAACACTGCTCTTTTTTCATTTTAGACTGACACATCTGCAGTATGACTTGACTTGAGAAAAGGAGCTTAGTAGCACCATCACTGCATACTCTGGTGCACATTTACATTGTGCAATTTTCCAAACTCATATTGGTTTCTCATACAGCATCTCTGTATAGTACGTGTATTCACTCTCTGTCCTACACGGCTTGTTGGAGCTCCTGCCCCCCCCCCCCTGTGAGCCCAGTGGCCGTCTGCGACACAGCGAAACCCAGCCCGAAACACACACACACACACACACACACACACACACACACACACACACACACCCGCAGCCTGGCTGGGAGTCTGTGTGTGTGCCCAGGCTGAGTTCCGCGGTGTCTCGCCGACCCCACACCAGTGAGCCAGCTCACACTGTCCGCTCCTCGCAGCAGCGAGCCTCGCAACGTCCCGCCGAGTGTGTGTGTGTGTGTGTGTGTGAGGAAGTCCGCTGATTGGTCCAAACGTAACGGCTCCGATACGTTACGTCACTATACCCGAAATACGTCACTATACCCAAGAAGTAAACAATGGAAAAAGAGAAATCTCCAATGAGGCGTTCTGGGGCAGCACAGACAGGTCTTTTCTGTGTTAGAGTTTTACTCGCTACAGGGTGTACTTTGAGGGTTTGTGACTCTGCAGACCGTTTACATGCAGAAAAAGCTACATAACAACAAGGGGACGGGTGATAACCAGAAAAGCATGACATGGGACCTTTAACTACTGCCTACATTAACTTCTGTATGTGTCAAAGAGTTAAGAAATAAATACAGAAAGCTTGTGACAGTTGTGGTTCAAACAGCCTTGGTACCTATGATGCACTGTAACGTTTCTGTAGTGTTTCCGTAGTGTTTCTGTGGTGTTTCCGTGGTGTTTCTATAGTGTTTCTGTGGTGTTTCTGTGGTGTTTCCGTAGTGTTTCTGTGGTGTTTCCGTAGTGTTTCCGTAGTGTTTCTGTGGTGTTTCCGTAGTGTTTCTGTGGTGTTTCCGTGGTGTTTCTATAGTGTTTCTGTAGTGGTGTTTCTGTAGTGGTGTTTCTGTAGTGTTTCTGTGGTGTTTCCGTGGTGTTTCTGTGGTGTTTCTATAGTGGTGTTTCTGTGGTGTTTTTATAGTGTTTCTGTGGTGTTTCTGTGGTGGTGTTTCTATAGTGGTGTTTCTATAGTGGTGTTTCTGTGGTGTTTCTGTAGTGGTGTTTCTGTGGTGTTTCTGTAGTGGTGTTTCCGTGGTGTTTCTGTAGTGGTGTTTCCGTGGTGTTTCTGTAGTGGTGTTTCTGTGGTGTTTCTGTAGTGGTGTTTCCGTGGTGTTTCTGTAGTGTTTCTGTAGTGGTGTTTCTGTAGTGGTGTTTCCGTAGTGGTGTTTCCGTGGTGTTTCTGTAGTGGTGTTTCTATAGTGGTGTTTCTGTAGTGGTGTTTCTGTGGTGGTGTTTCTGTGGTGGTGTTTCTGTAGTGGTGTTTCTGTAGTGGTTTTTCTGTAGTGGTGTTTCTATAGTGGTGTTTCCGTAGTGTTTCTGTGGTGTTTCTGTAGTGGTGTTTCTGTGGTGTGTTTCTGTGGTGGTGTTTTCTGTAGTGGTGTTTCTGTAGTGGTGTTTCTGTAGTGTTTCTGTAGTGGTGTTTCTGTAGTGGTGTTTCTGTGGTGTTTCTGTAGTGGTGTTTCCGTGGTGTTTCTGTGGTGTTTCTGTAGTGGTGTTTCTGTGGTGTTTCTGTAGTGGTGTTTCTGTGGTGTTTCTGTAGTGGTGTTTCTGTGGTGTTTCTGTAGTGGTGTTTCTGTGGTGTTTCTGTAGTGGTGTTTTCTGTGGTGTTTCTGTAGTGGTGTTTCTGTGGTGTTTCTGTAGTGGTGTTTCCGTGGTGTTTCTGTAGTGTTTCTGTGGTGTTTCTGTAGTGGTGTTTCCGTGGTGTTTCTGTAGTGTTTCTGTAGTGGTGTTTCTGTGGTGTTTCTGTAGTGGTGTTTCTGTGGTGTTTCTGTAGTGGTGTTTCTGTGGTGTTTCCGTAGTGTTTCTGTAGTATTTATGTGGTGTTTCTATAGTGTTTCTGTGGTGTTTCTGTAGTAGTGTTTCTGTGGTGTTTCCGTGGTGTTTCTGTAGTGGTGTTTCCGTGGTGTTTCTGTAGTGGTGTTTCTGTAGTGGTGTTTCTGTGGTGTTTCTATAGTGTTTCTGTGGTGTTTCTGTAGTAGTGTTTCTGTGGTGTTTCTGTGGTGGTGTTTCTGTGGTGTTTCCGTGGTGTTTCTGTAGTGGTGTTTCCGTGGTGTTTCTGTAGTGGTGTTTCTGTAGTGGTGTTTCTGTGGTGTTTCTGTGGTGGTGTTTCTGTGGTGTTTCCGTAGTGTTTCTGTGGTGTTTCTGTAGTGGTGTTTCTGTAGTGGTGTTTCTGTGGTGTTTCTGTAGTGGTGTTTCTGTTGTGGTGTTTCTGTGGTGGTGTTTCTGTAGTGGTGTTTCTGTAGTGGTGTTTCTGTAGTGGTGTTTCTGTGGTGTTTCCGTGGTGTTTCTGTAGTGGTGTTTCTGTAGTGGTGTTTCCGTAGTGTTTCTGTGGTGTTTCTGTAGTGGTGTTTCCGTAGTGTTTCTGTGGTGTTTCTGTGGTGTTTCCGTGGTGTTTCTGTAGTGGTGTTTCTGTAGTGGTGTTTCCGTAGTGTTTCTGTGGTGTTTCTGTGGTGTTTCTGTAGTGGTGTTTCTGTAGTGGTGTTTCCGTAGTGTTTCTGTGGTGTTTCTGTAGTGGTGTTTCCGTAGTGTTTCTGTGGTGTTTCTGTGGTGTTTCCGTGGTGTTTCTGTAGTGGTGTTTCTGTAGTGGTGTTTCCGTAGTGTTTCTGTGGTGTTTCTGTGGTGTTTCTGTGGTGTTTCTGTAGTGGTGTTTCTGTAGTGTTTCTGTGGTGTTTCTGTGGTGTTTCTGT